ATATCCCCACCCCAGCCCCACACGTGTACTACCCACCTGAGGAATATCCCCACCCCAGCCCCACACGTGTACTACCCACCTGAGGAATATCCCCACCCCAGCCCCACATGTGTACTACCAAAAATGCTTGAAAAAAACAAGAAAATTATTCTTTGAACAAGAAATTAAAGAATCCCTGTAGCAAGAAAAGTTTCTTGAGGTTTCTTGCTGTAGCAAGAAAACGATTCAGTCCACAAGAAAATATTTCTTGAACTAATAGCTAACTGTTTTTGAAGCAAGAAAACCATTCTGTACACAAGAAAAGATTTCTTGTAGCAGAAAAAAATACTGTAAACTTTCTTAAAACTCTAAAAATTCTTAAGATTCTTGTTGCTGAGCATGATAGTAGAAATATTTTCTTTTCTTAAGAAAAAAAGAAGAATAAAATTCTTTGTGTAAGAATCAACATACAAAATCTTTGAAGAATGTTTCTTGAATTTTCTTGAAAATCCCCCTGATATTTCTTGCCAAAAACAAGAAAAATAAGAAACAAGAGTTCCACGATCTCATACCTTCGCCAAAAGATGTTAACCCTTGCGGGTGACGAATTCTACAAGTTTAATCATTGATTTTGTAAATAAGAGCCTCATTTGCATGGATTATATCAGTTGATCATATTCTCCACCCAATGACAGCCTTATCATAACAAAAAGGCTATTATAGCACTTCCTCATAAATTATGCAAATGAGGTCATGATTTGAATAAATTATGTTTATTAATGTTCACCTTCACTTAACTTCCAAATGTGGCAAGTATGAAATTCGGGGTGCAGCAGTTACAACTATGGAATTATAAGAATTTGCCATTAATTATGCAAATTAGGTCCTCATTTACATAATCTATATCCTCAGATGTTTTTCTCGTTCTCAAGTAGATGTCACAACTGTTTCATAGTTCTATTATCGAACAAATCAGACTTATAGAATTTCCTCATTAATTATGCAAATTAGCTCCTGATTTGCATAATTGCCATCTGATTATGTCAAGCATCACTTCAACTACCTACATACCAAAAATCACGACAATACGTCAACCGGTTCTTGAGTTATCGTCCTTCAAATTTTTTTCAACAAATGCTCCTGCAGTTCCAGAACAAGGCGCTAGGGAACCCAAACTCATGTCACTTCTTCCCTACCCCAAGAGCTATCTACCAACCAAAATTCGTGACCCTAGCATGTCCAGAACATGAGATATCAAAACCGGAAGTTCAGCTGCAGTACCTAGGAAAGCCGCCAGGGGGCCCAAAATCTAATCATTTCTAGGTCTCATGAAGTCCTACCCACCTACCAAGTTTCATTCCAATCCATCCACTGCTTCTCAAGTTATCTTGCTAAACCACAAACCCACAAACACACAGACAAACGCTACTAAAAACATAACCTTCTTGGCGAAGGTAAAAATATTTTTGGTAGTGATGTACTACCCACCTGAGGAATATTCCCACCCCAGCCCCACACGTGTAGATGTGTGCTGTACAGGCTCCCACAGGTTCCCCGTCCAGGTCGGTCTGACAGCAGTAGGACTGAGAACACAGCATCTGTCCACACACCAGGCACATGGTGGGTGCACGGCTGTCATCACCGTCTGACCTGGGACAGCTGGGGAGAACACGGTGTACTGTAAATTCATCTAGTATGTCATACCTGGTCTGTCACAACATTACATACGGTTATCACACAGGCTTCAAAAAGTTCTAGGGAATAATTCTGCATGTGCCTAATGTGCCACTACCAGATTCTGATATTGATGTGTTACAGTTTAAAGGCACCAAACTGTCATTAAAATGTTTGTTTTCATTAAAATGTGTGTTTCCTCGGATGGGTACCCATGGTTGGGCTGGTGCGTACATGTACCTTGGGTGATACTGAATACACCATGTAGTATTCTATATTCATCACAATTATCAGAGTGTTTTTTTTTGTCTGAATCTCTTTTCAAGGAGACTTACGTGAAGACAGATCCTCTGTTGATGACGTCACTGTAGTCCTGTGGCAGGGGGACCAGTTTGTTTACCTCAACTGGGTATCTGTAAACATGCAAACAGCAAAAAAACTCTGGTTAGTAGAATATTCTTCAATCAGTGACTGTTTTTGTAAGGTAAAAACACGTACCTCAAAATTTTCGATGTCGACTGTACATCTTGATCACGGAGTGACCTATATTCTACTAACTGTAATCTTATGTGACTGATGAACCTCTTCAACAAGAAAAAAACTCCATAAACAATTCTATAAGGATGGTGAATGACTAAATATCAAAGTTCTCTACTCACTAGCTAGTGTGATATCCTTGAGTGCAGTTGTAGTGATACTAGGCTACCACACTACTTGAAAACTTTTCTATTTTGAAAATATAGCTATCTTGACCTGAATGTTATATATTTGGCCCATCTTGTTTTGTTTGGTTCTTGTGTTAGCTTTAGAATCTGCAGGGGATGTCATCAACAACACTTATTGTTGTAGCCTTAAGCCTTGGCCACAACCCGCCGTACGTGCTTCTGCGTGCTGTCTACGTGCAAAAATGTGGGCAAACGTGCGTGGTGAGTACCACCTCCGTATGGAATCCTCCGGATTTGGGAGCACGCAGACACGCCATAGAACTTTTTAAAGTTAAAAGTGCATGTAAAACTTTTTCTACATGCGGTCTGCAGATTCACCACCCGTGCGTGCGGGTACGGGCAACGCGCGTGCCCCGTACGTACCGTACATAAGAAGCACGTGTAGGTATGGCCTCCTTACGGTAAAGTTGCAATCGCACAGAGATCGTATGTTGTAAGCACGTACAACTCACCACTGCAGACCACACTCTTACACCTTGCGCAACCGTGCGAGTGACGTGTGTAGACGCCACTCCTTCCCCACGTTTTCAGAAAAAACATACCAGACGTGGCCTCCCAATAAAACGTATGGACAAAAAGCATGTACGGCTGGTTGTGACCGAGGCTTAAGGCACAGCTACTTACTTAACCAGACTTGCAGGTCCTGAAGCCAGGCTCTCCTTCACACCAGGATATCTGCACCATTTACTGTAAAGAGAAAAAAATTGTATCATCAGCAGGCTTTTAGCTAGGGGGTGTCCAGGGTGTCTTTTGGACGCCCTGTACTGAAAATAATAAGAAATTGGACGCCCTACTTTTTTGTAGGACACCCTAAAGACGCCCTATTTTTTCCACTCCCAACCTTTGCCATGCACACATGCCTCCCTTCAGCCTTACTATAAATACAAAAATGATGGTTTACTGAAGGAAAAAACTCAAATTTACACCTGAAAATGCAGAAAGTAGTGTTTGAGAGCATTATGAATTTCAAAAAAGCCCCCCTAAAATCTTG